GAGGGAGGGAGGGTTACCTGTACAGGAGCGGAGAGATGCTCGAAGGGAGTCCTGAGAATGGCTGGAGGGACGTCAGGGAGGCGCCAAGAAAGCTCTCATGGGGAGGTGGAGCGAAGAGACGCATAAGGACATACACAAATAGATGTATAAGAAGGACCTGTCAATCCCAGGGAACACAGCTTCTTGTCATTGATTGTCTTGAAATGGGTGCGGACTGGTTGCCAGCCCTGCAACGAGGACAGCAAGTCAGGGAGGGAAGGAGAGGAGGAGGAGGAGGAGGTGGTGGTGGTGGTAGAGGAGGAGATGAATCTGAGGGAGGGGCAAGAGATGAGAGGAGGAGCAGGAGTGAGGAGCGAGTGTAAACCTGTTTGTCTCCTTCTGCTCAACAGCTATGAGAGCAGTGAACCAGGTCTGCACGAACACGCCACATCAACCGACGACGGACAAACAGCCAGCGCAAGGACCTGGAAGAGAAGGGCGGTGGCGTTGTGAGCTTGCACAGTCATGAGGGAGTTGCGAGGGTTGACGAAGAGGCAGGCGGCTGAAGTCTTGATCAGCTCTGACCGCACGATGTCCCTCTTCGGCGGGAAGTGCTGCATCCTCCGGATGACCAGAGAGACGATCCCCGGGACGAACTTGTCGACGCTGGACATGCCATGGAGGAGGAGGCAGTGCGCGAGCTTGTTCGCCTCGACCACGTCCTGGTCGCTCGCGCTCCTCGAGTCGAGGACCTTGGTGAGGATGCGAAAGATCAGCTCCGGCCGCTTCTCGTCGGCCATGAATGCCTGTGGGAAGCGCGAGATGTAGTTCTCGAGCGGCAGATTAATGTTGCACAGGTACTCGTCCGCCCAGTCCAGGTAGACCTGAGCGAGGGGAGGGAGGAGGGACCAGAGGCCGTCGGAGGCGTGCGGGGTGTAGGTTGTCAGGTATGTGACGATCTCAATGAAGTCCTCGATGTACTCCGTGTAGGGATACCCTCCAGTCTCGTCCGGGGAAAGAACGCGGAGGAGGAAGGGAATCAGCGTCGCTTCGAGCTGCTGAAAGACCTCCGGGCAGTTTTTCACGGAGTCGAGGAGGGTGGCGATGGCGCAGCAGCTCTGTGAAGCTGCGAGGCTCGAGTCGTTCTCAACGTCGTCGAAGTCGGCGAAGCGCAGGAACGTCTCGGCCAGCCGGTTACAGAGGCCCTGAGCAAAGGGAGGCATCTGGTTCGAGAAGCACTCGATCAGGACGTCGAGGGTCGACACCAGCTCCTCGCTGCTGATCTGATCCATCAACACGAAGAGCTCCTCCATGATCTGCGGCAGGACGGAACCGACGTCCTGCCTGATAGACGCGTATGCCGTCCGGTTGTCCTGGTCGTAGATCAGCATCCTTAGCGCCACCGCCGCCTGGAAGCGAACGGCTATGTGCTCGTCCCTGAACATCCTCATTACCCGGTGAACCAGCCCCGTGAACTGGTCGGAGCTGACGTCCATCAGGTCCACCAGATGCCCCAGGGCCCAGCAAGCGCGTCCTCGCATGTGCCCGCGAGGAGACTCAAGCTCCACGGCGATGAAGTTGGAGATCAGGTTCTCGATCCCGTCCTGGCACTCGTACAGCTGCTCGGACTCGGAAATCTGCATCGCGATCGCTCCGAGGAGGTACATAGCCCCGTCCTTCTTGCTCGCCGACGCCTCCGCCAGCTCCTGGTTGTCGGGATGCCGCTGTGACATGGTGGTCGACTCAATGATCTGGTTCTCGCAGAACTTGACGATGGGCACGAGGCAGGACTTGGCGCGCTTTTTGCACAGATCGATGGCGAGCGAGCAGGCGGCAACGCGCTGGGAGGTGTAGTCCTCCATGACGTCGTAGGACTTGCGGATGAACTCCGACGGGTCGTCGCTCCACAGCTCCGCGTCTGTCTCGTCGAAGCAGAGGATGGGAAAGATCACCTGAGTCACCAGGAACTCCACGTGCGGCTTCAGCTCCTGCCAGACGATGGCAAGGGACACGGCGGTGGAGAGGTAGTTGAAGCATTCCACCACCGCTCGCTCGGGCAGGAAGGCGTTACTGGCCTTGCCGGACAGGAACTGCAGGATCAGGTTCATGAAGCGAACGGCAAGCTCGTCATGGAAGATGCGGGAGATCGTGACTTCCCCCGGCCGGGTGGGCCCGAACTGTTTCTCTGCTGTCTTGGGGTTCCCGTACTTGTGGAAGATCCTGTGGAGGATCTGACAGGCCCAGCGCTTCGCAGCCCAGAAGGGTTTCTTGGCAAGCACAGCTTCGTTCGCCTGCGAACTGAGGGACGCGGGGACGGGGCGTTCGATCACTCGGTACATGATGGACATCCATCGCATGAAGACCTCCGGCTCCTGCAACTGCAAGGGGACGGACTGGTGGACGCACGACCAGAAGCACTTGACGCCGATCTTGATGGCCTCGGCTGCCTGCTCGTCCTCTGGGCTAGCGGTGAGCAGGAGCTCGAGGATTGTCGCGATGCGCGAGAACGCTGCGCTGATGATGCCGTTGAGCGGGAGCCTCCGCTCCGCCTGTCGGTACTCGAAGACCTGAGGTGATCAGGAGTGAGAGGGGGAGGGGAGGGAATGGGAGGGGATAGGAGAGGAGAAGGAGACAGAAGTGTAGGAAGAGAAAGAGAAGAGGGGAGAGGGGAGAGGGGAGAGGGGAGAGGGGAGAGGGGAGAGAGGAGAGAGGAGAGAGAGACGATGGGTGGGTGAGGGAGTGAAATGAAGATAGGAGAAGGGAGTGGGGCAGGAAGCAGGACAACAGCAACCTTGCACAGCGCACGGCACGCGATCAGAGCAGCCAGGACCCTCTGAGCGTTGAGGAGGTTAATGTCGAGCTCCGATACCACGGCGTCCAAGAATTCTGTTGGGAGCAAAACGAGAATCAGAGAAACAACAACTCGCTACAGAGTTCCAAGGCAAGCTGAGGAGCAAAGGACTGGGCGGACCTGGCATTCGGACAGGAAAGTCCACGGCTGCGGCAACGACTGTCAGGACGGGCAGGGCACTCGTGCAAGCTCAGCGTTACATGCGATCTTTCTTAGACTCTCGACGATCTGCGGCCTCGTCTGATGATTTGCAACGATAAGGGCCTCCAACAGCCCTGCGGGAATCTATCACTCCCCTCCCTGCGCAGCAACAAAGGGTAGCAGACCATTCCGCACTGACTGCTTGTCAGCCTCGCTGAAGACGATTTCATCCTGAGCACGGAAGCGTGTAAACATCCTGACTGTTGGTCGAACTGCAAAGAAAAATCCTTCACACCTTCTTGTTCTCCGGCGAGTACTCCCGTTCCCAATGCTTCTGGACCTTCAGTGCAGGTGAGGGGGCAGGAGGGCGATCGATCGAGCGCTCACAAGGTTCTTGAAGTAGATCATGCCGGCTTGCTTGACTTGCACAGTAACCTGCAAAGATCTCAACAGCCTGTCACTGCAGTGGGGAGAAACCAACACCTCTTGACTGCTGATGATATGGAGGAGGCATGGCAGATATCCTGGCACAGCGTCCAGACCTCTCAGAGCGTTCTCTGCAGCATTCGCATCATTTTCATCCTCCTCATACGTCCAATATAACCTGCTGCTTGTCGTTCGTCATGATTGGCGCTAAGAGATCCTGGTTCAAGGTCAGCCTTTCCACTGTCGCCATGCAGCGACACTTACCCGCCAGAGCGGAATGCAGAGCAAGAAGGTCCATGGTGGTCTGACTTCGGCTAGTCGAGTGTGATATTAGACGCCAGCATGTTCCTGTTGAGAAGGAGTGAGCTGGCCAGAGTGATCAAACGAGCTCTGTCAATGCTCGTCTCAGGAGCCACAGACATAGCTGTACAAGTGATTATGTCGAGTATGTCAAGTTATGTGGCAGCTTTGAACTTGAAGATGGCAATATGGGAGAGAGATGAAGAAAGACTCAAGAACTAAGCGACAAGCACATCAGGTAACATCAGGTAGATGCAGAAGCAGAAGGATCTGGAGGAGGAGGTGGTGGTGGTTGTGGAGGTGACGTGGTGTTGGCAGTGTTGGCGGTAGGGGCAGGGAGAAGGAGGAGGAGGAGGATAGGGGTGACTTGCGGAGGTAGATAACAACGAGGACGAAGTTGAGAGCTGGAGGAGGAGGAGGAGGAGGAGGAGCGAGCAGGAGGCATGTGGCAGGAAGAGGAGCCGCCACTCGCATGTCCAGGTGAAGGAAAATACTGAGGGGTGGGGTATATTCCAGGGTCAAGGAGGGGGTACTCAAAGTTTTGTCCCTGAGGTGAGCCCGATGGAACCTTCGAAAAAATAATTCGGTGGGTTCGATCGCATGCCAGGTACCGCCTTGCTAGCATGCCGTCGAATCGCAGGCGATGGGGAGTTGCTGAGCTCAACCAGAAACCCTCATCTCCTGCCTCTCCCTCTATCCTTAGCTAGCGAGCAACCATTCTCTCTCTCCGCTCACGTTCCATGCTTCTGCCGTTGGTAGCTGCTGTGAAGTAGTATCATTGCTGCCTTTTCTTCCTGAACCGCAAATCCCGATTCCTTCTTTTTGTGCTGATCCATATTGATGCCAAACGCAACTGATCTAATCGTGATCCAATCATCAAAGGCCGATACTTAACATGAAATAATGTGTTCGACTGAAAGCTGCAGTTTGTGAAGAACCACAGACATGAGGGATAAGGATGAAACAAACGGAAAGGAGATCAGGAGTGTAGCAGTAGACGAGGGAGTTAGAAAACGATTTAACAAGTGCAGGCTGTTCGGAGTGAGTATTTACCTCTGTGGGGTGTTTTGAGCCCCAACATATGAACTGGGCTGCAACAAAAGAGTCAAGAATTGAAGGGAGTAGGAATAGCGGAAGAGGAAGGAAGACAGAAAGGAAAGAGTGGGGTGAGGCAGAGGGGTGAAGGAACGAAGAGGTTGTAGATTATTTGGAGCACGTACGAAAGGAGATCTTTCTAAAGATAGACAACTCTACGAACTTTCGTCCAACAAGCTGAAGTGCTCTTGTTCGAGTCCACAATCGTGAGAATTCATTCCGGGTGAAAAACTCCATCGTCTCAAACTCCAAAGGCAAAGCACAATTTTCATTCAGGTGGACAAACATCCAAACACTCTCTGATCGACATTTCTAGAATCAAAACTTCATACGATTCAATGACGTAACTGTGTTCAAATCTTATCATTTACAAGTACAACTGTTAAACAAATCATATAAGATCCTCGAACATGAAATCTTCTATTCCCTCCGTTGTAGGCCGCGCCATCCAATCAGGGCTGCCCTCCCTCATGTAATCCTCTGCATTTGCCTGATCAGAATTTGAGCCGAGGGTGGTTGAAGAACTTGCTGTTGAAGATCCTTGCGCTGCCGATGCCTGCAAATCTTTTACTTTAAACTCATCAGCTCCCCAGCACTCCAGCGCTGAGTGATCTGGTTGACATGAGGGTTCCGAAACAAGGACTCCAACATCATTCGTAGCATCTGCAGCAAAACAAATACGAAGTCAGCCACACGGAATAATCGGAAGCTAAAGTGGGAACCAGGAGCATCGACCTCGAGAGCTACAGCTGTGTCTGTACCATCCTGCTTTCGTCTCCTTGGGACCTTGTCCTTTGAGCCGACTGGTCTCCCTGGACCTCTTCTCTCCACTTGATCGTACTCCCGCCTCTCATCTGCAGTCCACATGTACATGGTCGCATGCGCCCACGACTTTCTGTCCCAGATATCCCGAACGGCCTTTGCACTTATTCCAAAACGTTTGGCTATCGAACAACTTTCAGCAGTTTTGCTGTCCGATTGAAATCCCCTCAAAGAATAAATTTCTATTGCCTTTTCTGGTGTTAGCAGGGCTTTCTGTTTTCTTCCTTCTCTTTCGATAGGTTTTCTCGGTTTCGCTTCTGTACATTGGTCACTCCTCGTCTCTTGTTCTGATTTTGATTCCCTATCCATCGTATCAATTGCACATATCTCACAAGATGAGAGATGGCCGAGTAGGCAGAGCCGGTCTTGTCTTTAAGACAAAAACTGTAGCTGACTATCTCAAAGAAAGCAACACCTCTTTATCCAACGCTGTAAGAGGAGACAGACAGAACAGGAGAAACCTTGGGCAGATGTCCTTAGAGTGGGGATACAAGGTCGTGCTCGCTTATGGGATGCAAAACGGTGGAGCTGACGAATCGGGGATCGACACAGCGAAAACTTGAGAGGAGGTGGGGTAATCATTGTCTGTAAAAAGGATGGGTGGGGGTGGTAGTATCAATTGCAAGAAGTGGGAAAGAAGGGGTACAATCCTGGGAAAGAAGGGGTGTATGTCGAGGGTGGCTGAGATTCCAGGTGGTGGTGGGACATACAAACGTGGTGGGGAGGTCGGGGGAGAGTTTTTCTCACTCACGGTGGGGTCCATAAAGCATTGATGGTGTAGGGTGGGTGGTATCCGCATAGCGTTGCCTTGCAATCGCGTCGCTTCCAAAAACTCGTGTGCAACCACCCCTGTCTTTTAAAGCTCCTTGCCGTATGAACCACCGGTCCGAATTGTGCAAGGCAAAGGGTGCATCTCCTCGCAAGTTTTGAGCAAGTTTTGAACTTGCTCTCAAGTTTTGAACTTGCTCTCAAGTTTTGAACTTTTCTGCTGAAATTTTGTACCGATCGCTCACGGCGACCGCCGGGCCCGCCGATTTACTCTGCCGACTCTTTACTGAGTGATCGGCCGAGCCGCGGGCGCCGGGCCGGCCGGGTGCGGTCATCCCGAAAATAGCATGTGGCATGATATGGCAGAGTGTACCGAGAGGCAGCATAGCGACAAGAAAGACGCACATGCAGAGACAAGAGGACAGGACAGGACTGGACTGGACTGGACAGGACAGGACAGGACAGGACAGGACAGGACAGGACAGGACAGGACAGGACAGGACAGGACAGGACAGGACAGGACAGGACAGGACAGGACAGGACAGGACAGGACAGGATCGGATGATGGGGAGAAGTTTCATTCAAGGGATGTTGTTCGATGAAGCAGAGAAAATGGATTAAAAGGTTTGGGAGCTCGAGCACAGAAAGGACCACATCTGCTTTAGCATGACAATCTTGCAGGAAGATGTCGAAGCTTTGGCCCGCCGCTTGTTCGCTCCTTGTTTCGACTGCAGTCTTGGGACTGTTGATGGCGGGCAACCGCAGAATTCATACCACGGAGCTCTTTCTCCGATGGACTGGTTATCGATATTTCGTGCCAGAGGTAACCCAACAAGTTTGCTGCTCGTTTGCTGAACTTCTTGCTAGCAATTTGTTAATTCGCCGGTCCACGACACAAGAAGCTATGATGACAAGGTTGTGCTCGCCTTTCTTGCTTGCTGCTCTGCCTTGCTGACATGGGAGACGCAGCCTGCTTTCGACGGCACGCACAATATGCGAAACTGGGGGGTCCCGCCAGGTCCTGGTGGTGTTGCTGAATGACTCTCTGTCTCCTCATCTATTCGATCAGACGGCGTGCTGGTTTCAAAAGACTGCGCCATCCTACCAAGGAAGGATTGTCTGCCGTATGAGGAGCCTTGTAATGACTTGTAACTTGGTGATGTTCCTGGCAGGGCTGAGTCCGAGGGCTGGAGGCACGGGAAGAAAGCTCCTGCCAGGTCTGACTGATGGAGAGGAAACCCTGCCCTCACCTGAACAGCAGCGTGGACGTGTTCTTGCGCAAGAGGAATGTCATATGGAGACGACCATACCTCATGCCGAGCAGAGGAGAAGAGGAGGCAAGAAGGTGACTGAGCGATCTTCCCCTTGAAAGTCCGTTGACTTTTGCGCTCAGAGTATTTGCTAAGAGGTAAACGGCGATGACGCGATTGATACCGGACTGTCGTCCCGTCGTTTCTCATTCTTGTTTCTTCTCCCCAGAGCGCCGCGGCCTCCTTTAGCTACCATCCGTCAAGGGTGGAACTTCGGGCAGACCCCGCTGAGCGAGCCAGGGCTTGGGAGAAGCACCATGGAGACAATTCCCATGTCAGTGATGAAGCACTTCGCTCCTGTTGTAAGTGTTGCGAGCGGGATATCATTCCCTGATTTCCCTTCCTAGAAGATTCTCGGCCAGCCCCAACAGGCCGTGGTAGAGACTGCTCCTGTTTTCGTGTCTGTGGAGAGGCATCAGATTCCTCCTCTACATTCTTCCTCCTCGGCTACTTCAGGTGTCGCTGTGCTGGTCTTGTCCCTTGGTTGTAATAGTCTTGAAGGCCAGCAGTCACAAGCTGTCGCCGACACCGCCCCGTCTCACGAGGTAAGGCACGGGAACCTCTGCCGTGCATGTGAGTTGTGCTGTGAGCAGCAGGGGAAGCAGGATTCGCCCGAGTACAAGAATCCATCTGCTGCCATGAGGGCCCAACGCTCGACTTACCTGCCTCGTTTCGTGGAGGTTCCAGCGTCTCCTCTGCTCACTCGCGGGGTGATGGAGCGTGTCTTGCTCCCCGAGCGTTCTGGGACTGCGACTTCTCAAGCTTCCTACCCGCTGAGGGTCCCTATTGCAGCCCAGGCGCACCTGGCGAACTTCTTGCGGGAAGGTCCAGCCCTGCCTCAACAAATTGAGATCAAGTTGAACAGAAACTTCCTCCCTGAGATGAAACGGTGCCAACACCCCTGCCCCTGCCCCTACCCCTGCTCCTTCTCTTGCTTCTATTCACGATCCCGTCTTGGTCAGCGCACAATCTATGCTTTGGGCTGTAGAGTGCATCTCTCCGTGATTTGATCATTCTTGACCTCTTGTACCTGCCAGGTCCGCAATCAATCGCCTACTCGAGAAATGGAAGAAGGAACACTCTCAGTCCTCCTCCTCCCCCTCCTCCTCCTCAACATCCGGGGCTGACGACGAGGTGGTGAGATCTGACGACGAGGTGGACTCAATCTCGAAGGAGTCGAAGGACGTCGAGCACTTGGGGTTGTCTTTTGTCCGAGCATTGCGAAGCTTCGTGGACCAGAGCTCTACGTCACGTGCGGACTCCATCCTCCTCCACATGGGGCAGAAGCGGAGATCTGCAGCAGTGCCGCCAGGCACAAGGGAGGAGGCGGGTGTGGTAGGAAGCAAGTCGAGGAGGCGGTCAGAAACACACTCAACGAGAGCGAGGGGAGGACCGAAGGTCGATCGCCCCTCATACAGCAACTTGGTTGGGGATCTCAAGAACGTAGAGGGAATCTTGCAAACTGACTTGAAGAAAGTTCGAGCGCAGCTGCACAAGTCATGAGGTGTAACATATAGGTCCGAATAGTTTTTTTCTTTCATTTTCCTCTACAATATTCTTTCCCCCCTTCGCACTTTTGCCTTGTAACAAGATATTGTTTTCCGTTGTTCGTTGCTCCCTCGTAGTTCTCAGTTGTTGTTCAGCTCCCGCTCAGTACCCGGCTGTTGCCTCCCGCTCTCCGACCTGCAAGTAGGGTGAGGATTGCAAAGAAGGATGTCTCAGATTCAGAATCTTTCCCCCTGCCACTAGTGCTGCCTCCCTCTCCCCTCCCCACACTGCTGACTACTCTGCCATGCTATTTCCACATCAGAGTTTCGACGGATACCTGTGAGGTTTGAAGACCGTCTGCAGGAACCTGACAAGAGTTTCTTTCCTCGGATCCCGACTTCGATTGCTCTCAACGTTCACTGCTGATCGACCCGACGCCCTATGGCTGCCGCTCACTGGAGGCTCCGTGTTGCTCCAATGACTGCGAGAACTATCCGCTTGATGGCCCACAGCAACTTGCACTGAACGCTGAGAAGGCAACGAGGATCTGTTCGACTTGCTGCCGTTCGCTGCAATTCTTACCTGCCATGGTTTTGCTTTGCCATTCACCGTCAGCGCTTGCCGGGAATCAACAGCAGGCGCGCGTTGGAGCAAGGAGCTCCGCTTCGTCATCTGTCCAGAGTCTCCCTCCCCATCCCTCTCCCCCTCCCCCTCAAGCCTTGTTTGAAGCACCCCGATCAGCGACCGCAACGAGCTTCGGTCTAGCGTGCAGATCAGGTTCGCAAGGTCGTCGACGGGGGTCTGCCTCGCCCCTGGGGGGGCAGTAGAGGGCCGTTGAGGAGGAGCCCTCATCTTCAGCTGATGCGAGGGCCTGTCGGTGATGGAGTCCTTGGTGAGGGGGCGGGCGACATGCACCCTGCCGATCTCGTTGACTTGCATCTCCTTGGGGATCACTGCGCCGTGCCTGAGCCGCACGAGGCCTACGCACCGAGGCACGTGCTTCCACTCCATGGTCCGATCGCTCCGGTCCTTCGACCGAGCTCTAGCGAGGCAGATGGCATGGTAGGTTCCCATGTCGCTGAACAAGTCTCTTTCATCTTCGTCATTGACCATCGTCGATATGTATGGCGAACTCGCTGCAGTTCTCAACATTCCGGCTGCTGAAAGATCCCAAGGACGTCAAGGATACCACTGGGGATATGTCTGACTTTTCTTATCACAGGGCGGTAATTCTTTAGCTCATTGAGCTTTCTCTTGTCCGCGTTTCTCTTCTCGTTCTGAGACTCTGTCACTCGGCCGCTCCTCAAGCCCCTCAAGCTGCCGAACGGATATCTGGCAAAGCAGCTCTGCCGTAACTTCAGACCAGTCAATCTAGCCTCTGTGCCGCAGGCTAATCAAGAGGCCTTCTCACCTTTCAACTCACGAACCTCTCTATCTCTCTCCTCTCTCTTCCTCTTCATCGCTCTCTCCTTCGCTGCCGCCCCATCAACTGTCACTGTGTCCATCACCCCCTGGAAAAAAATCCGACTACATCCTTCCCAACTGATGAGAGCGGGCCAACCCTCCTGGTCACCACCCCCACCCACTCTTCCAAGTGATATTATACAGCCGCCTCAGCATTTTAAGTACCCCACCCCAGACCGCCATTCCAACCCTACCTCCTGAGCCCACCCTGACCCCCACCCCCAACCTTCAAGGAATCACTCAATCGAGTCCGACCTCAATTTCCGGGCCCGCCCCAATAGTCACCTTGTTGACTTTCCGGTAATAGCCCTCATCCCCTCACACTCGAGTCATCGCTCAAAATAGACTCTAGAAACCCGCGGCCCACCCCACCCCCCTTACCCACTTCGTTTGAGGTTTCACTAAACACCACCCCTCCTTGCCGTATCTTATGTAAGTACCCCCAGCTACTCCGGGGTCGAGTAGAAGTTAAAAAGCTCTTGGGTAGGGGTACCTCAAGTCTTCATAGACGGGCGCCCCCCGAAATAGAATCAAGAAGCAGGTCAGCCGCGGCATGCAACGAAAGAATGCGTTTAGTTGGGAGGGAGGGGAAGGCGGAGAGGAGAAGCCGTTTGCGATGAGTGATGTTGTTTTGATGAAGAGGAGGCTGAATTGTAGAGTTCTGGTGTGATGTCATTCTCAGTTTGCACTTTGAGCCATGATTTGAAAACAAGTTTGTTTGCTTCATTTCGCTGTAAAATGCAATAGGCTGTGCTTTCCTAGTGCATAAAGAATATGGCCGAAGTTGACATTTTTCCTTGAACAGGATGTTCCAGACTGTTAGAACTGTTTTCACCTCCCTCGATGCCACCGGCAGCAACGGCCCCCTCACTTTGAACGAGTAAGGAAGCTTGCTATGAGAAGAGATGTGTTCTCATCAGTCGAACCTCCAGCTTCTATGTCAACGAGCACCAGGGAGATGGCCTCTTCACCCACAAGACCGTCACTGAGAACAACCTCGGAGGTTTGTTTCGAATGTGAAATTTGTGATTGGAGTATTGAACCCGTCTTCCAGGCATCCGCGGTGACGATCCCGCCAACATCCTCCCCACCTACAGCTCCTATGGTGCTTACGGTGCTTCCGAGTAAATTTCCTTTTCTCAGGGTAAATCTAGATTATACATCTCGCGAAACAGAGTCTAGCAGCATTGTAGTGCCCCCCTGCATCAAGTCAGAGCTTGCCATTCTCTGAGCAACATCGGGACCTATTTAGGTTTTCGATAATCTTGTCCAAAGACATCTTCTCGTGCCGCCGCAAGCGAACTGCAAGTTCCTGCATACCAAGTTATTTCCACAACAGATGTCACGTCATGATGCACATGGTTCTCGCGAATCGTCCTGTAAAAGGTGTCATATCACCCGTGATAAGCTTCTCGGCAACACAAACTCACCGCGAAAGCAACTCGTTGTCTTCTGCAATGGTTGTTCCTAAGTGTACAAAATTAGCATTCCTCGAATCACTCAATGCAGAATGAGACATACTGTATCCTCTCCTCTTCTCCTCAATGTGCTTGATCAGATATGATTTTGCCTGTCAAAACAAGACTCACTTGCAGTATTCAAGAGAGACAAGAGTTTCGCACGTCTTTGCTTTGAGATTTCGCCCACTCTCTGACTTGATAGGGAATCTCTGTCGTAGAAACACAAAATTGTCGTACATCTCTTGCATTGGAGGAAGGAAATGAAATGTAGACACAGTCGTTAGGGTTGTCCTCCATAACGAATCCATTGTACAGCAGGTATTCGTAGTTTGACTTGTTGCCGTAAGACTCGAATACCTGCGATCAATCAGAAAACCTTCGGGAAAGCGATGGATCTTCTAGACATCACCTGGACCCCTCGAGACACTGCACGATCTGCGTACATGACTGCCGCACGAAGCTTCTTGTCGTATTGGATGAAGGTCTTGTCCTGACTCTCGATGCAGTTCACCATGTCTATCAGAGGGATGAATGTCGGGACATTCCCATGGCCAGTCTGCCTGTTGAGTTGAATGACTCTTGAGTCGTACAGGCCGTTGGCCCAGAACCAGTTCTTCAGTGTGAATGCCTGCTTCAAGAATGTCTTCCTGTCGTGTTTGAAGATACGCTCGCGCAGTTCGTCGTACATGGCGCGCAGCCTCTTCTTCTCAATCCTGGCCATGTTCGAGACCTCAGAGCCCGCAAGCTCTTGCAGCTCATCTTCACTCCAGAAGATTGGAGATGTCAAGTTGGTTGGCATGATATCGAAGTAAGGTTTCCAAAACGATTCTTTCTTGGGGTTGTACATCTGAAGGAGAAAGTACATGAGGACCTTGTTCTTCTCCGACAGAAGCCTGCGTTGTTCTTGCATGGAAATTGACTGGCTCTTAACAATCTTCATCAACTTTTTGTCCAATCTTGACCCAGGTTCTACTCGTTCTGGGCCCATGAGCATGTGGTCCGGGATAGCAATGTACAGTTCACCATCTGCGATGTCATCTTTAGCGGTCGTTCCCATTCTGAAGCCAGGTATGCTCTTCACTTCTAACTTGTTCACAGCAAGCTTCTGTGACTGGATCCATTTCTCGAACGCATCGATCTTGCGGGCATCAGATATACACTGCTCATCCGAGCATGTGTCAGCATCGTGGTCGGCTTTGCTCGCCGCCCATTCCTCAGCTTCTTGTCTCCTCTCATGCTCGCAAGATCCCAGGTGGAAGAGAAGGACAATCATGATCGCTGTCTCTCTCCTCGACCATCTCCCCCTCCGCTCCTGCCCAGCACCCCACCCACCTGTTTTCCGCTCCATGCTCTGCTGGTTGCATGCCAACATGTCCCTAGCTGACGGCATCGGGTGACCCGGCGCTGCCCAATTGCCTTTACCCCGGCAGGGCCGGGCCCGGGCCTGCCCGGCCGGCGGTGCGCGGCGGCCCAGTCACTAGTACGGGCCGCGGGCACCGGCGGGTACGCGCCGGGGGGGGGTACGGTTCCTTAGGTTCCTAGTGAAGGTATCAGTTAAGTTTGGGGGGCAGCAGTCGGCAGGATTGGGTTTGGTTCTCGCTGTCTTTTCGGAGTTCTCTTCTCGCCCTCGACTATCCTGATTGTCCTCGTACTGATTTTTCACTTAACTTTGAGTAAAGAAGTTCCTTAGTCCGACTTGGAGTCACCGGGCGCCCGGGCCCGGGCCCGGGGCGGCCCGGCGGGCTCGCCGGGAGTCACGGTCCGACTGTGCGCGGGCCCCGGTCCGACTTCCGCCGATGATGGCGGGCCCGGAACTTTGTTGAAAGGCTGCCAACTTCAATAATCACTGAGATACCACCACCCCACCCCCTCTTCCACATCTCGGCTCTGCTCCGGTTGACGGGGTCCCACATACAAAATGAACCTAAATTCCTGGGGGTCACTACCCTAACGGGTATTTTCATCTACCAAAAGCCGATGAAGGACCGGTACCACGAACAACATACCCCACCCCTTGTGAGTAGTGTGTTCAATCATGACCCTACCCCCTGGTACCGTTTCCCTACCTCCGTGCCCTTGCCCACTTTGACGCCATGGGCGGCAACTTCAGCTTAATCTCGCAAGGTCCTGTCACCCCTCCTTCTCTCAACCCACTGACCCCACTCTCCTCTCCCTCTCTCCTCCACTGTCTTCCCTCCTCCTTCATCCCTCCCTCCAATGCTCCCTCCAATGCTCCCTCCAATGCTTGACCCCGTTGAGGCTGCTCTGTCCCCCCAGCTGTCCATCTGTTCCTTCTGTAGCTTGCCCTGCCCTTTCAACTTGGTCAAGCAGCCACTCCATGTACATCACTGCAAGTAGCTTGCTGTTCGCTTCCTAGCTGCATTTGTTGCGTGCCCTACGTTTTCCCTCCCGACTTAATCCCTTTGATGCTGAGCTTTGTGCACATCTTCAGTATCAGATATCTTCTACTATCATGTGTATGAGGTTCCAGACAGTATTCTTTGTCACTTCGTACCCTATTCCCCGACATTCATCATCCCATCCCATCATGAAACACCTATTTCGTCGACCACTGATGTCGAAGATCGTACAGAGGAGCTTGAATGTTGCAAGAACGATAGCAGTGTGCTGAAGAGTGCGAGAGGGCCTAGCACACACGTTTTTAGGTATACAGGCTGTCCTCTCATCTTATGGGTGTGCAAACTGACTATCCTTTGAACAGCGCGTATGCTTCGTCTGTGCACCATGCCCAAAGGCCCGATCGTGAGTCGTTCCCGCGTGTCTCTGATGCTGCTGACCTTCCACACAGCAGCTGGGCACGATCTTCAGCCTTCATCCAGCAACGACCATGTTTATGAAGAGGTGACTTCACTGTTGTCCACTGACTCGAGAGCACCATTGCTTAACCCCTGGCAGCTCTGGTCTGCCCGTGACGTCATAACCGATCTAGACGCGCCTTTGTTTCATCAGGTATACCATGAGCAGAGCGAGTCCTGGTGTTGTTGGACGCTCACTCGCCTCTCCAAGCATGCCGCCTGCGGGAACGTAGAGGTCCTGGAAGCTCTGCTGAGGAACAAGGCCGACGTCAACCAGTTAGATCATTACGGTATCAGGAGTGATCCGAGCTACTCCAATCTGATGATTCGTTTGCTGAGCAGGGAGGACAGCTCTCCACTTTGCGGCTCTCAACGGCGATCTTCCAGCCGCAGAGTTCTTGATAGAGAAGAGGGTTTGACGTCAATCGAAGAATCCTGGGAGCGTGATGGAATGATCTTCAGGGGGACATACTATGTCGTGCTTCTGATGGAAAGATTCCTATGCACTACGCAGCTGAGAATAACCAGGTTCTTCATCCCAAGTCCAATGGCAGAGGCTCAGTTTGTCACCCTTGCAGGCTGAGATGGTTATGTTCCTGGAGAACATGAATAGACACACCAAGAAGGAAATCTTTCATTCCAGGAACTATTTGATGTGTACTAACAGGAATTCCTTTGCCAGACACATTCCAACAATCAAAAGATCGGTGCGGACTTGACAGCCGCGTCACATTCTGCATCCAGCATACTGCCGCAACAAACTGAAGGTACAATTTGCTCACCCCTTCTAGTGTCCACCATTGGACCTTGTTCGCTTGTTGCAGTTTCTTATTCAGGTGACATCTTTTCGATAGATACCAACTCTCGGAATCGAGATGACGCCCTGAGAAATTTCGATGACCTGAGGGGAGCTCTTCAGGTAAACTTCATTATCGTTAGCCCCGATTTCTGTTGTACTATTCAACTGTACTCTTTCATCAAATCGCCCCCTAACGGTGTATTTCCTTCCCAAGGCTGTGACTCAAGACGCTGTGGCTTCCGATGGAAGCTCCGGAGGGGTAATTGACCATTCTCGGTATCGATGGTTCACAGATTGATCTGCTTGCAGAAAAATGTCTCGGTGAAGATGGAGGAGTTGAAGCAGCGACGACAGGTTGTGACCTAAACTGCTTGCTGTGCTTCGGAGCTGAAGCTTCATCCAGGCTGCCTTGCACAAACATGACCAGATCTTTGGTGACAACTTGACTCTGCCAACTCCACCCTGACCACTCCTCCTCCTTGTCAAACAGGAAACAAAGTTGTCTTTTGAAGCTGCCAGAGTCGGCACGACGCTCAAGGTCCCCGATCTCTCTAACCCCTCCCGGCCAACCTTTGCATCTCCTCCAAGGCCAAGAAGTCAAGGATGGCCGACCCCAGCTCATCGGCGTGTGTCTCCTGGATGAAGTGACCTCCGTCGTTGAAGACGAGCCGAGGCCTTTTCAACTAATTATTCTTTGCCGAAGAGGTTTGTAAATAGAATGTCTCACCCCCCGGTCAGGGTCTGGCTCAGCTCGTGGTAGAGCGCCTCCTCCACGAAAGGATCGTCTTTGCTCCAGGACATGAAGACAGGGACCTGGTAAGGACAGCAGGTCACTCCGTGACATCCCTCCTTCCCTGCTGACCCTCTGGCTCTTGATCATCCTGCTTCTTGCAGCCTGCCTGCAGTCCGCGCTCAGCACCAGCAGTCGCAGTGAGAGGAGGAGACCGTACTTCCAGAAGTCGCAGTCGACCCATCGCCTCATCATGAGAGAGAGGTTGTTCCCCTGCAGCCTGTTGAACGCATGTCAAGGCCGCGAGCTTCATGACAGGGAGAGACGACATGTTGTTGTTTTCTTCGATCATCATACTTCTCCAAACAAGCTTCTCTGCCAGCCACTCGGCTCCCATGCTCTCCATGCTAGCGTGCATTCGCGCCATGGCTCGAAAGGCCCAGTATGGCCTGATGCTCCGATGAGCAGAGAGCACAGGCAGTGGGTTGAGGAGGACAAGACCAGCCCAATGCTGCGGGCAGCGAGCAGCACAGTTCATCGCCACCTGCCATGGCGTCAGAGGAAGCTACCTCCATGCCTCTCCTCTCGTGCACGCCGACATGTCAGGGGATGACCTGAGCTCCAAGTCCATGCGCAAGCAGGAAGGGTTCCTCCAGACCCTTCCTCTCCCTGATCTCTTCAATAATACCCGCCAGCTCCTTCCCATTCGCCGGATCGCCTCCTCCCATGCATCCAGCCGAGCTCTGCCCACACCCTGGCATGTCCACGCGGAGGATGCGGTAGCCGGCATGCTTCAGCACCCCTGCCAGCGTGTTCCAATCTTCTCCTCTCCCTGGTATCCCATGGAGGCAGAGGAGACTTCCTCTACTACCTGCCATGCTGTCCTCCACCCGAATCTCTCCTCCTGCCCCCGTCAACCATCTCCGCACGCTCCCCTCCCTGCCCATCCTCCCTCCCATGCGCCTGCATCCCCACCGGCTCCTGTTGCCCCCGAGCATCGCCCTGCTCGACTGCCCCTCTAACGAGGGATTGAGAAAGGATCAAAAAATACTTTTTCGTGGTTCCTATTTTATGCTGAAAGAAGGCGCAGTAGGCGGGGGAAGGGGGGAGCGTTGTAGAGGAGGAGGAGGAGGAGGAGGAGGAGGAGGAGGAGGAGGGAGGGAGGGAGGAGGAGGAGGA